GGATTGTCCCGATTAAAACAACAACAACAAAACTGGGACAGTCTTGCAAGAATCCGGATGGGTGGCCATCCCACATGAACACTATGTGATGTTTCTCTCTTCCTTTTTTTTTTCCTACCCGTCATTAAACAGGAACAATGTCATTATTTTGAAAACTTGGGAGTTAAACCAAGGTTTCAGTTATGACCAAAGGTCTGTTCAATAGCCAGTGCTGCTGAGACACCTAGATACTCTTCCTCATTTCATTATTTGTAGGGATCCAATTATGTCATTGTCGCATTTCTGTGTCTTAAGGGATGGACAGCTGTTGAAAAATGAGAATAAATTCAACCCTAAATCTTAATCTCAAATTAACAGGTATTTTCTCCTTGCAGTTCTGAGAACAATTGAAAGGAAAAAAAAAAAAAAAGCAGGTTCAATTAGTTTAAATAAGATGCAGTAACGTTTCATTTTATTTTGTTCATTAGAATATTATTTAATTATCATTAATTGCATGATGGGCTTTTACTTATAACTCTGATTACATCGAGTTTAAGTGGACATAAAACCATTGTCCAGAAATGAAATGAGAAAATGTTGTTTACGGCATTGTCCGTGTTGTGCGCCAGTATTCTGTCTTTCCAACAGCTGCACCCGGACATGCTGTTGGTATTTGGAGGCTTCTAGAGAGGGAAGCGGCCAAGTTTATTTTTCTAATCTCTAAATTTGGCACACAGGTCAGCACTGAAAACCCCTTCTCTGTGTATGCATTAAACCGCCACCGGTAAATGCTCTTAGTCATGATACCTTTCAGGGAAGCCTGAGAGCCAGGGCAGGGCTCCGAATCCCCAGATTCTCTGCTACTGAGTCCATAGGACTTATTTGCAGAAGTTACTTAAACTCTCTCTCTCTATTTCATTGCTAAAATTTTAAATAATGATTCCAAATTCGCACAGAATAAATAGATGTTTAAAACAATCCTTTATACTAAAAAGACATGCGTGTTTTTGATGGACTTGATTTTCAAGCTGGGTCCGATGCGTTCACTCTGTTTTAGTTCATGTCCTGGCTGTAAGATAACTAGAACCCACTCTATTTTTAGCCTGGAAAGGGGGTTGGGCAAAACTTCTTTGTTTTTTGACCTGACCATGGCCAGCTCTCAAACATTCTTAATTTATGGCCTATCATCCGCTATTATTAGGAATCTCAAATGAGTCTCTCTCCTCATTGTGACTGAGGCTAAGTCCTGAATGACTTTTCATAGAGGCAAGTATTCCTGGATGATCGTGCAGCCAGATTTCACTGTTCCTCAGACTGTTCACCTAGACAAGTAAATGAGGGGCCATACAAATTCACTATTAATCATTTCCATAGATGTAAAAAAAAATCAGTCTTCTTATTAATTTATAAAAATAAGTAACAGGGAGGCATATTATTGTTTTTGTGAAATGGAGATTTAGACTAAGATACTCAAATACATTTTTTGTTTGTCATAAAACCATCAACCAGCAGGAACAAGAACAGTCTTCTGAATTCAAAGAAAATGGAAAATAAAGACTTTTTCTATGGGAAAGTATCTGAATGGCACTTTCATTAATGTATGTAATACCCACCAGTGGTCTATTAATTGCCACAGTCCTCACTTCTTCAGGATGCTCCATAGCTACTTCATCCGTGTGCCTGCCTCCCTCTCTCTCCATTTTTTTCTCCCTCCCTCCCATTCCTCCTCCCTTCCGCTCTTGCCTCCTATGATACCATTTCCAGACATGTTAAAGGGGGAAATGTGGGAGAAAACGATAGCGAATTGCAGAGCCCTCATACTTGAGATGAAAACGGTCTTGTTTCAGACTCTTTACTGAAAAATCGTGTTTGAAGCTGAAAATACAAGAATTGCTATTAATGGTTCAGATCCATATTTTCTCATGTTCTGTTTTTATTGCTAATAGTTATGCCACAGGAAACTATATGGCAGAGGGGATCTGGGCTGGGGGACATTGATTGCAGAAGGTAAGGCATGCCCACATGTTTTTTGTCTTCCCTAAAGCCTGCTTCAATCAATGTGTCTTAGCATTTTTTTATGTCATTCATATATGAAGGCTGTTTATTGGAGCTAGGAGTTTCATAAGCATACTAGAAGCTGTATAATATAACCTTGCATTTCAATTACTAAGATTTTATTTTAATTGTCAAAGAATTGCTCTTAAAGTTATGGTCTGGGATTCCATCTCAAGTGTGACATCACATTAATGATAATCTTTCATCATAAAAAATTCTACATATTTTTCTCTCTGTGTCATTTCTATTTAAAGTCAATTTATTATACAACATACATTCATGTCCTCCAATATATTTTACCTCTTAGGTCAACCGAGCCTTCCTCTGAAAAACTTGTGAGAATGTGACTGTGATCCCATTCAAATAAAGGACTACTGTGCATATTACTTTTTGCAATATCATCTGCATCAAATATTTTCCATTTCAAGTATTTTCCATTTCCTACCATCTGAGAATAGGAAGTTAATGATGTGTCTTCCACAATTTTCTGCATAAATGAACTGCTACTTTTAGCAAACAACTTGTTTTTTACCATATAGGCTTTTTTTAGCAATTAAATCAAGTATTATTCTATATTCAGAGTCCCTTGAAGATTTGTTGTTTGCGCTGTAAATTTCACGTGATGTTTTAGGTGGCACATGTTTATTTCCTTTGAAAGAACATGTCCTATTTTTGAGGAAGGAAAAAAAAAACTTGTAAGACATCAAATGTTTCTTGCAAAACAATTTGATGAAATAAATGTAAATGAATCAGAAACATGTGAATTGTATTTCAATTAAAATTAATGGGTTTAAAAATGAAGGGAGTAAAGTGCTTGGGGGAGAGAGTGTGGCAAGGCGGGAAGTGACATTCGTTTTGTTTTCATCAGTCTTGGATTTTTGAAAAATGGCCTAATACTCTGAATTAAACCTCCTTCAGATTCTCTCTTAAGCCTGATGAGGGAGATCCAGAATGGAATAATAATATGCAAATTTACTTTGTAGCTTTATCTGGCTCAATGATAATGTGGGCGTTGAATATGGCCACTATGCAATCCTTCAAAACCAGTTTCAATTTGAAATTTGTGATTTTTCTATTTTCTTTTGAGGGTAAACAGTAAATTGTAATAATTCTGAAATTATAAATTTTTCCCCATAGAACATGTAGTTTTCAGACTCCCATGTCAGCTTCACATTTATTTCCTCTGCCAAAATGAAGAGGATCAGATCGAAACAGAAAACACGTGGGGAATAAATGTAGCCACACATAGCAGGAAAAGGGCGGGGGGCGGGGGGGGGGGAGAGAGTGTAAGAGAGGGAGAAAGAAAGATAAGGGAAAAGAAATAGACCATGAACACAGACCTTGGTCATCAAATCTCATTTCATAAGCAAAGCACTCAAATCACACTACTTATTTGAAGGTCATAAAAATTTTAGCCCATAGTTTTACATTTGTATCATTTATGTGTGCTTGAAAACAACTATGTAGCTTCTTTTTTACTTTTTCTATTTTTCAGTTAAAAAAAATAACCATGCCTTGGAGCACCCGGGTGGCTCATTCAGTTAAGGGTCTGACTTCAGCTCAGGTTTGTGGGTTCGAGCCCCATGTCGGGCTCTGTGCTGACAGCTAGCTCAGAGCCTGGAGCCTGTTTCAGATTCTGTGTCTCCCTCTCTCTGTCCCTCCCCTGCTCACGCTGTCTCTCTCTCTCTCTCTCTCTCAGAAATAAATGAAAAACATTTAAAAAAATCTTTAAAAAAATAACCATGCCTTACTCTGGAAACAGAAAAGAACTACAAAAAAGAAAAGAAAAACAACTTACAAATAAGTCTCCCTGTCAACATACTTCAAAATATGAGGAAGTTTGATATGTGGTGTGACAATGCAGTTTCTCAATTCAGTCCCTGCAAATAGAGACATTGTAAATGTTCCCCAAACTTCCAAGAAGTCAGGAGTACATAACTGGAGATTATATTTTTACTTTGGGAGATAATTTAGGACGCTGCTTAAGTTCCTCACATAATGAGAAATGTAGGAACAGAGTCCTTTCTGTAGAAATTGAAGGTGCAGTAGCCCATAGGGTTATTTTTGTATGTAAAGAGCCTGCCTTTTTGTTTCCTGAGAACATGTTGTTAATGGAGTTGAGCATTTCTCTGACCATGTAGATTGCTGCTGCTGCTCATCACCATGTTTCTTTGTGCCAAAATGCTCATTATCTCAAACACTTCTGGAAGTGGTTCTCTGCCATAGTTCTCACAGGCAGGAATTGTGGGTAGTCCCTCTTAATATATTTGTTCCATAACTGGGTAGATGTGTTTTAACCTCTAGCACAGCCTTTTGTTATTTTATTTAACCTCCCCCTCATCCAGTTTCGTGGATAAAAAACAGGGTTGCTAGGCTGACTGTTTCATTTATACCTTAAATCAGTGGCAGTATAGCAATTACAACTGGGTCGCCTGGGTGGTTCAGTTGGTTGAGCATCTGACTTTGGCTCAGGTGGTGATCTTACCCTTCGAGAGTTCGAGCCCCACGTCGAATTCTGTGCTGACAGCTCAGACCCTGGAGTCTGCTTTGGATATTGTGTCTCCCTTTCTCTGCCCCTTCCCTGCTCATGCTCTATCTCTGTAATAAATAAATAAATATTTAAAAAGGTTAACAATTACAAATATTTCTGAGCCCCCAAAGTTACCCTTAAAAGCTCTGCTGATCAACACAAAATCTAAATCCCAACTCCAAAGCTGTGCCAACGAAAATATATGACTAGCATCAACATTATCTTCATTACCACCAACAGTCAGTATTTCTAAGGTCCTCAATAAAGTGTCACTATGTAGGCTCTATGCTCAGAACATTATCACAATGGCATGCTTCCTTTGATGAGGAACATATTGTGGTTTATTTCCCATTACGATTTGCTGCAGTAAGTTTTTACAAGTGTTATAAGATCTAATCTACTTTGCATTTGGTGGGGTTGTTTCACTTTGTGACAGGTCTACCCCTGTAGCAGTGATAAGGAATGTGAAATTGGGAGATACTGCCACAGTCCCCACCAAGGATCATCAGCCTGCATGGTGTGTCGAAGGAAAAAGAAGCGCTGCCATAGAGATGGCATGTGTTGTCCTGGTACCCGCTGCAATAATGGTAAGGGCTAGTTCAGTGTTGATAAGCCTCTTTCTTTTTATGTGGGAGCTGCCGAGCAAATTAGACTAAATTCTCCTTAGCCAGTCCCTGAAATATAAGGAGCCTTTCAAAACTGGCAGGGACTGGATCATGGTTTAGATACGTGTACAATTACTTGGATTACCTCCCCAATCCTAGTTTTCCTGGATTCTGATCTCTTTCTATATTAGATCATTTATGATGATCTAGGATTTACCATGTTGAAGTGTTGTATATAAGTAGCTAGAGGTTCTATTCCGCTAAGCACATGAGTGAATATGTACAAGAGACCAAACAAGGAACCTGATATGATTTAGCAATGCACTGGTGAGTGCCTCTTCCAGTTTCATGTTAGTTTCATACCTTGATTCTTCTATTCAAGGTGTCTTCCTTTAAAGGCCGCACCCTGCACAACATCGATAGGGAGGGAGTGATTGGTTCCTCCAAAAGGAAACACAGGAGTCTATTCCCCAGCCTTTCCATAAGCATGACTTCACCCAATCTCCATGAATTTATAGGCAGACAATTCAGCATTAATGATGAAATGAAGAATCACAGACAATACATGATAACATCATTAAATAATTACAGAAGGTGATCAGAAACATAACTTAATCATATGAAACAATATGATCGTACTCCTTTTCCTATACTTGCTCCTGACCTCTGGGCAGAGTCCTATTGGAAGTACCTGGAGCAGGTGAAGAGAAGAAAGGCCTCATACCATTAAAGATGTTTACAGTGATAACTAGAATTATATTGTCGACTGAACAAAGGAAGCTGGATCCTGAAGATGGGTGTCTGGTCAGACATTTTTAAAGTCCTAATAGCTAATATTAATTTAATATTTACTAAGTCACTATTCTAAGCACTTCACACGTATTCACAATAACTTAATGAAATGTTTTAATTCCTATTTTTGCCCACAGTCACTTGGTCCTGAGAGAGACAAGAGTCAAATGAAGGAAGTCTAGCTCAGACCAAACTATTTAATATTACTTAATATTAAATAGTACAATTTAATCTTTATGTAAATAAATGAACGGCTCAATAGAGGATAAAGGATTGACAGGTAGATGGATAGATAGGTAGATAGATAGATAGACAGATAGTTAGATAGATAGATAGATAGATAGATAGATAGATAGATAGACAGACAGAAGATAGCTTCTTACCGCATATCGGCAGAATACTTGGACAAGAGCCATACTTTGTAGAATTGTATAAGTCTAACTGCTTACACACCATCTCCAGGCATCTGCATCCCTGTGACTGAGAGCATCTTAACCCCTCACATCCCAGCTCTGGATGGCACTCGACACAGAGATCGAAACCATGGCCATTATTCAAACCATGACTTGGGATGGCAGAATCTAGGAAGACCACACACTAAGATGTCACATATAAAAGGTATGCTATCTGTAGCTGTACATTTACTTTTTCTTGCTTAAAAAGAGGTATAATGAACATAGAAGTCATAAATTGCATTGATTTTATAAAAAATACAAGGAAGCTACTTTATTGTCAAGATTTTAACTGAATTTATTAATTCTTAATTTTGAGGATTCTGGAGGTTTCTAAGAGATCTTAAATTATTAGAAAATATATAGTAAGGGGAGCCTGGGTGGCTCAATCTGTTAAGCGTCCAACTTTGGCTCAGGTCATGATCTCGCGGTTCCTGGGTTCGAACTCTGCATCGGGTTATGTGCTGACAGCTCAGAGCCTGGAGCCTGCTTCAGATTCTGTCTCCCTCTCTCTCTGCCCCTCTCCCGCTCATGCTCTGTCTCTCTCTGTCTCAAAAATAAAAATAAACTATAAAATTTTTTTTTAAAAAGAAAGAAAATACATAGTAAAAGAACTACAACACCCTTATCAATCATGCCATTTTCTAAACAGGCCTGCCTTTAAATGTTTGCTGTCATATGATTAAATCCTTACTCTTTTGAATCTTTTCCTCACCTTTACAGAAATATTATTTCAATAAACAATCACATATTATACTATTCATAAACCAATTTATCAAAAATAATTGGTTTCTAATGGGATGATATATGGTCATAAAATCCCCTCACTTGTATCAAAATATTAGGGAAGCCTAATCACTAACAGTAAAATTTCAAAGCATGAAATTATTAAACTTAAATACTAATAGTAACATTTTGAAGGCATTATTTTTAAAGGAGGCATTTCTCAAGTGTGTTCTGTGGGGCATTACTCAGTTAAGACATCCTATGAAAGAAGAGTTTTATAATAATGCATCTTCCCATTTTGGGAATTTTATATAATAAATATTTGCATATTGAAGGCTCTGAGAAGTCCAGCAATGAGTAAAACTGATTAAATTTTTAAACACTCTAAGTCTGTTTCCTTGACTACAAAAGCATTTCCCCACATTTGCATGCTCTGAGGAGCGAGTATCCTATAAAATTCCAGATCTATTAGACCTGGAATAGTATTGTTGACATGGATAGTGATAAGGAGATAAACAATTCTTCTTCAATTGTCCTGTCTATACTCTCTGAAGACCTACGTCCTTTGCCCAGTCTCTTATGGCTACACCACCAAATTCACATACATGTGTTATTACATGAGTATCCTTCGTTATTCCAATAGGTATCTATGTCACAGCACAGTTTCAAATTTACTAATATTTTATATAGTTTTATGTGCATTTCTTTCCTTTTTTTAAGGCTTATTTTGAGAGAGAGAGAGAGAAAGTTTGTGTGCCTGTGTGCCTGTAAATGGGGGAGGGGCAGAAAAAGAGAGAGAGAGAGAGAGAGAGAGAGAGAGAATCCCAAGCACGCTCCACACTGTCAGCACAGAGCCCCATGCAGGACTCAACTCCACAAACTGTGAGATCATGACCTGAGCCAAAATCACGAGTCAGACGCTTAACCAACTGAGCCACGCAGGCACCCCCCCCCCCATGTGTAATTTTCTGGTGGCAACTAGGAAGAACTCATGACAATGGCTAGTGAGTTTTGTCCATGCACACAGTGGGTTTGATTATATCGGGGCCGACAGCTAATCCTTTAGATCAGGATTGGCACATTATGGCTTGTGAGCCAAATCTGTCCTGCTGCCTGTTGTTGTAAATAATGTTTTGTTGGAACACAGACTTGCCTATTCAATAGGTATTACTTATATTTATTTGCTTTTGTGACATGCAGCAGAATTGAGGAGCGACGGATCACATAGCCTGAAAAAGCCTAAAATATTTACAATCTGGCAAAATCACAGAGAAGTTTATTGGCTCCTTGAAACAGGTTACACATCAATCCAACTGTGATATGTATGTTTGCTCTTTGCTGATTTAGTCATTTTTTCTAAGTTAAATATCCAGATGTGTTCTTCCATGTGTTTCTAATGAAGGGTTCTTGGTTGACCTTGAGGCTGTCTGTCCTTTCTCTACTCCACTCTGTATCACAGCTTTTTATAGACTGCATGTTCTAGGCTCCCTGTCAGGTGGCTTCTGGCCACGTGGGTTTGGCTGTGGGAGAGAAGCAGGAAAGAAAAAAAGGCCGTCATGTTAACCCTTCCTCAGGTAATGTTTCTGGCAGAACTGTATTTCCCTGGGGCTTCAGCTCCTGCCAGATGGGCCTGTTGGGATCCAGTCCTAGCTAGTGGTTCCAGGCTCCACATTCTGTCATGACCTTCTCCTTTGGCCCCTCCAGCCTAAACGTGGAAGCGGCTTCCTGCTCTGTTGCTTTACCATCTTCTGGTTGCTTCTTAGCCTTGCCACTCACTACCTGTGTGTCTAGTTCTCTGCATTAAACATCTTATGTTTTAAGTTTCTGTTTGCTGGGTAGACATTGATACATGGCTTTAGGAGTTCCTGAGAATCTCAGCTTCCTCCTTGAATCAGTTTGTTTACAACTTCCAGGAAGGCATCAAATTATTTACTTTGAAAGCACTTCTCTTTATTTACTTATGTTTCACTCACTTAGTTTAAAAAAAAAAACATAGTCAAGGAAATATCTGAAAGCAGATCATGCCAAAGTAAAGAGAAGATGAAGCACATTCCAGCTATTCATAGAACTTGATATGCAGACACCAAATAATCAAAATGGACAATAATGGATTGACATGATTAGAGGGACACCGGAATCCAAGACTTTCCATAGTAAATAATAACTTCATGCAAGACAGTACAAGCACAAATATGTACTTCTGATTGCAAAGTAGAGTTTGTTTTTTTTTTCTCAAGTGTCATGGTAATATCTTTTGGTCATCATCTCTGCAGGGCATGAAGGAGACCCCTGCCTACGATCGTCAGACTGCGTTGAAGGGTTTTGCTGCGCTCGTCACTTCTGGACCAAAATATGCAAACCAGTGCTCCATCAGGGGGAAGTCTGTACCAAACAGCGCAAGAAGGGCTCTCACGGGCTGGAGATTTTCCAGCGGTGTGACTGCGCGAAAGGCCTGTCATGTAAAGTATGGAAAGATGCCACCTACTCCTCCAAAGCCAGACTCCACGTGTGTCAGAAAATATGATCACCTCTGAGGAAAATCGATGCTAGCAGACTGTGAATCTGTGTATTTAATGCATTACAGCATGGTGGAAAATAGGGTTTGGATCTCAGAAGAATGGCTCAAAAATAAGGGATGTGATAAGGATATAGTGATCACAGAGAGAGAAAGGCAAAGAGGATAAAGAGATTAGAAAGGGTGACAGATGGAGTGCAACTGACGTGTTTCCATTATGCAACTTGTTTATGTAAATAATGTACACATTTGTGAAGATGCTATTACTGAAAAAAGCACACAGTAAAAATTACAGATACCATGTGACTTTCCCAGAGTTCAGGTTGTGCTGGAAGATTGGTTTCCTTCATTGGTGATTGCCTATAGAAATAACCTAAAAGCCATATTTCTAATTCAAAGTCATAGGTTAACAAAATAGTCCCTGTATACTTCGGCATATGATAGGCTCTAACACAAAAAGAGTTGTTAAACACTGCTTCTACTGCTCAATGAAAGGTGTTGGTAGACAAGAAAAAAAGTCAGTATTTTCCAAATAATCTCAAAACAATTGCAAATCATTATGAAGGCCTTTAGAAAAAACCAAACTTGTTTTTCTTCAAACTGCTTATTTACATTTTTTAAATATTTACTTTCATCGATAATTAATAAGAACCAGTAGAAGACAAAGAGAGTCCATTCACATTCTAGAAGAATGACATTGTATCTTTCTTGATTGTATGTGATTCCTACCCTGAATATATTTCATTTTCCAAACTATCCTGATTAATTGTCAATAGCACAGAGCAGAATTTCATAGTTTGCAAAAAATGTTAAGGTGCCCAAAATACAGAATCAATGCAAATTGTTATTTTTTGAAGCTTTGGCATTCCCTATGATAGAATTAGATTGGTAAATACATTTATTCTTTACACATGCTGCAGTATAGTTGGCTAAAGCTGATAATAGAAACTTGATCTATATTTGCCCTGGACTGGAATACACAAAGGAAATGGAAAAAATAATGTCAAATACGGAGGTTTTGGCAACACGTCGATCATATATCTGAAGCACAAACTGACTATTCATATTTGAAGCCCAAGGCCACACAACCTAAATGGGAGTTTTCCACGGGATTTGCTATCACAATATTTACTATGCAGATGAATTCTGTGTAGGTCACTAGTTGACCTCAGAATATTTATTTTATATTTTTGAGGTGCTAAAATAATAGGAGATCTCATGAAATGGATTCCCAATGCAGATTGGAATAGTAAGGCTCCATTGTCCTTGATAAGTTTCTAATTTGCCAAGGGCACCTGAAATTTCTGTACCAGTTTCTCTGCAACAGCTGTTTTTTGCCAAAGACATTATTTCTGTTTTCTGCAGCCATTGAAATCAAAAATACAAATAAGATAACGTGTAAAATCTACATATTGCTAACCTATAGAAATCACAATTTCCAAATTCTTTGAAACCATTTTATTACTTTTTTCCTTTACTCAGTTCTAAATATTATGTCTAGAGCATAAAGCAAAAATTTATCTTGTTATTTTTGACCTTTTCTTTTGTAGACTGCAAGTCACTACTTAATTTTCTTTTACTTAAACCTCTTCTGCAGTCTCAAATTCAGTTTCCTCATTAGAAATTGAATGTGAGCCTGCATATCTATTAAGAATTTCAGCTTCCCATACACATTTACTAGGATGATTAAGATTTACATTTTCCCCACATAGACATGTGGGGAAACAAAAAATTATCAGCTGATCTATCCAAGAACCAAAGTCTGTACAAACAGGTTTCTATAAGCTTGGCAACATGATAATGGAACATTTCAAACATTTCCTATATAGCAATTACATATACAATCTGGTTTTTGCATTATTTCCCTCATGTACATGCCAAAATTATTATTTGAAGTAATTTATTTACAGGAAATGTTAATGAGATGTATTTTCTTATAGAGATATTTCTTACAGAAAGCTTTGTAGCAGAATATATTTGCAGCTATTGACTTTGTAATTTAGGGGAAATGTATAATAAGATAAAATATATTAAATTTTTCTCCTTCAAAAACAGAATTCTAATTTCCTTGTGTTTTGGTTATGATAAAAACTTTCATAGAATCATAGATTCTCAGAGTTCAAATGGACTTGATCTGATTTTACAATTGGGGTAGGAATCCTTTAGATGACATCACCGTGAGATGATCCAAGGCAGTTTACTATTACTAAAGGCAGCTTATTCATGGCAAGACAGATGTAATTGTTAGAAAGTTATTTTTTCATTAAACCAAAATATTCTGGCTTGGGTTTTATACCCATTTATTCTTACTTTGTGTTCCAGAATATTTTGGAACAAGGGCTCTCCACAAACTTCTTCAAAATGCTTGAAGCCACCTAGCACATTTCCTACAATCTTCTCCCCAGATTGAAATTTTCCAAAATAGGGACACCTGGGTGGCTCAGTTGGTTAAGTGTCTGATATGACTCAGGTCATATCTCACGGTTCGTGGGTTCAAGCCCCATGTTGGGCTCTGTGCTGAATGCTTGCTCAGAGCCTGGAGCTTCTCTCTCTGCCCTTCCCCAGCTCATGCTCGGTCTCACTTTCTCTCTCAAAAATAAATAAATGTAAATATATATAATATGTGCATATTATATATATATAATAAAATTTCCCCAAATAGAGATGCCAATATGCTTAGGATATGGGTTTATCCCCCCAAATGGCCCAAAGAAGCTACAAAATATCTTTATCCCTCTATGGATACAGACTGAGCTACCTGGCACAAATCCACTTCCTGGGAAGGTCTTTCCTCTGCTTCCTAAACACAGACATGTCAGAAGTGTTTGATAAACAGTACTCACCAATTTTGAGACTGGGAGTGGTTGTAAAAACCCATGTTGTATTAGAGATGTTAATGGGCTGGAAATGTGGAAAATAAACATTCTGTGACAGTGGAATGGATTAAGTGTAGCTATGGCAGCATAATGAAACTAAAACAGTCCCATAGATAGAGGTCAGAGTTGAAGATACCTCAAGCATTGCTGAAATAACTCTCACATTATTCTAATTAGTCACTTAACTAGTTATTCTTAAATAGTTATCCATTTCCTCAAATTGAGAACATTTGTATTTCCAGCTACAGTGTATTTTTAGACTATAAGAGTCATATGGGTAATATTTTTCTTCTCCACTGAGCTCAGGGAGATGCTCTGAGAACTGACAAATTGTCCTGACTTCCCTTTTCTCCAAGAAACACAATGCCCTATCATAGCCCTAGGATTTGAGGAGGGAAACAATCAGTCACATTTTTCTACACCCCCAAATTCAGACCATTTGAGGAAAAAAAAGTTGAGAAAGAAAGACAGATGACAGATTACCCTAAGGCTGGTGAAGTTATCAGAGTGTGATGTGTACTGTGAGCAAGAGGATACTAGAAAGAGACAGATTCTAGAGCAAGATACTAGAAAGTTGCCTATTCTCAGACAACATCAGACAATATCATTTCTATCTATGGGAGCTGCCACTGTGAAACTTACAGCATGGATGGACAGAATGGAATGACACCCTTTCTTCTGGCAATTTGTGCCAAAGAAGGGCAGGAAGGAATAGAACTCGAGAATCTCATTTGAAATTCTACAAAACTGGATAATTCACAGCATGTGAAAAGAGTGGGGGGTAGAGTGGGACAAGGATTATTATACACTCCACAATTAAACTAGGAAAGAAGAAACCCCTCCCTCACATCATTGCCCAGATCTTTATATTCTTAACCTATTGTACATAGCCATTTGTCTATGGTGAACATACCACCATAGATCAACTGTCTACTAAAGCAGTACCTGATGAGGTCATTCCCCCCGGAATGCCAGTCACTCCTTTATGGATACTCTAAGGATTAGTGGTGGAAAGTTCAGATTTTTGTCTCCAGAAGATGGCAAGATGGATGAAAATAATTCATTAATCCAATTGACTCCAAGACCACACTATAGTCAGGGCTGGAAAAAACTCCTCTTTCTTTTTTTTTTTTTTTTAATGCTTTATTTACTTCTGAGAGAGAGAGAGAGCTGCGGAAGGTCACAAACAGAGGGAGATACAGAATCTGAAACAGGCATCCAGGCTCCGAGCTGGCAGTCAGCACAGAGCCCGACACAGGGCTCAAACCCATGAACTGTGAGATCATAATCTGAGCTGAAGTTGGAGGCTTAACCGACGAGCCACCCAGGTGCCCCAAAACTCCTCTTTCTTTATAGCAGCTTAAATTATATCTGTCATGTTATCAGTCATTCTTCAGTGAGATTAAATGACACATTGGGAATCTGATAATATAATGCATAAAAAGTACTCCAATCGTAAAATTCCAATGACCCAAAGACTTTTTAATACAAGTCCTCTTCCATTAAGAAATCCCTAGGAGAGGGGTGCCTGGGTGGCTTAGTCGGTTAAGCGTCCGACTTTCGCTTAGGTCATGATCTCGCGGTTCGTGGGTTTGGGCCCCGCGTCGGGCTCTGTGCTGACTGCCAGCTTAGAGCCTGGAGCCTGTTTCAGCCTGTGACTCCCTCTCTCTCTGACCCTCCCCTGCTCATGCTGTCTGTCTCTCTCTCTCTCTCCTAGAAATAAATAAAACATTAAAAAAAAAAAAAGAAATCCCTAGGAGAAATTAATGTACAAAATTTAAATCATTTTGCATGTTAAAGTCAAAATAAGTTAAAGTCCAAAGAATTTAACATCTATATTTGTTACCTTCCTCTTTAGAAAAAGGAATCCAAATAAGCTGAAATTCAAATGCTTCAAGTTAATGGCTAAAGTTGTCCTTCCTCGCTCCATATTCTGCTCTGCTTTGTTCCAACCACTGGGTTTATTGATGCCTGGGTAGAGTGGGACTTTTTTTTTAAATTATTTATTTTTTGGAGTGGGACTCCAAAATACTTTCAGCAGCTATGTCTTAGAAAGTATCTCACTGGAATAAGAGACTTAGTTTTTAATAATGTTCAATGAATTTCTGGATACATAAGATTAAGCCAAAGATGTCATCACATTTAGAAAATGGGCAATCTCTAGCTCTTATAAGAGATAGACCAGGCAATAATCTAGAACATGGTGCTGTCAAAAACCATAGCAAAGATGCTTGGAATCTGAGTGAAGGAAGATAGATGGGGAGAAAAATATTTTTGTTTTTCCTTGGTCAAAAATGTCAAAGCAAAATGTCAACTAACCCAAATCAGTTATCTAAAACCCATGACCCATGTATTTAAACTTACTTGGGGAAAAACATCCTACAAAGACATTAGATAGAGCACTCTATTTTACCATATGGTAGGGTGGGAGAAGAATCCACCTGTATATTCCATCACATTTAGAGAGTGAGTGGTATTTGAGGCATTACTGCCTTAATGTAAAACTGGTAAAGTTTAGAAATTCACCATTTGGCATTAGCCTCAACTGAGGCTTCTTTTTTGCACATCTAGCATATTCAAAGCATTGCCAGTGCTTGAAAATAGGCATGATTTGGTGATGTGGCCTCCATAATATCTTTCAGGTTGACCTTTTTTGGGGTGTGCTGTAATGCTGCCTCCACTGCTTCATGCATTACTTATTTCCTCATCCCTGCATTTATTCAAGCTGCAGAAGCATAGCAACAAATTCCTGAAATAAAATTGCTATTGATACTCCTGAAAATTACCTTAGCAAAGGGTGCCCCAGGACACAAAAGATACTCCCAACTTACATTCCTTCACTCAACACATACTCACTGAGAGTGCCTTCTATATGCCAGGCAGCTAAGTAGGCACAATGGGTAGAAGCAGAAACCCAAACCAATAAAGTTCCTCCTTTCTTTGTTTTTACATTCCAGTTATTTTTTAAGGCTTTAGTTGGGAGGCAGAAAATAATTAAATAAAAATTATATAAATACTATAGGAGACAGAGGATAAGCCCCCTGAAGAAAATTGAGGCAGGGCAAAGAAACAGAGGGAGACAGTGTTATTTTAGATTCTGTGGTTAGGGAGATCTCTTAGAGGAGGCAAATGTGAGTAGAAACCTGGCTGAAGTGAAGGGCTGGGAATGGGTATTTCTGGAGAAACAGCAGCACCAGAAGAAGAGCTTGGGCAAACTTCTGACACTGGGAAGAAGTTGAGGGGGAGACTCAGATGGGATGGGTAAGGGGAGACAGCTAGACCATGAGGTCAGAGAAGGAGATGGGTCAGATTGTGTAGAACCTTGCTGACTTCATAAGTACTCTTATTTTCAAAGAAAGATGGAGCTGCCAAGAACTTCTGAGCAGAGGAGTAGCATGAGCTAACATGTTTTCAAAGGTTCACCCAGGCTGCTGTGTAGAGAAGAGATGAGGGCATCCAGACAAAAACCTCGGGTGGCTTAGATTTTCGAGGTAAGGTGGAGGTCACGAGAGACAGCTGGACTTAGGGTATCTTGGGGATTGAGCCAACTGGATTTGCTGTTGGACTGGATGCAAGTTTCGTGAGTGGAAGAATCTCTGTAGCCTAACCCAAGGATCAAGGTCACCGAGAAATTGTTGATAAGAAAAACAAAAGGGTTAAAAACTCTTTCTTGTACAATGCCCTTGTATTTAATATCTAAAGGAAGAATTGCCCTCATACGATACTGGCAATTCCTTGAAAAATTACCAGTTGCAAATTTCTTGCCAGCCATCTTGAGAGCTTGAGAAAAATTATACAAAGGAGAGTTAGAGTCAACAAAAAGAGAGAGCTTGTTGGATGCACTAGCAGTTGCCGACAAATGGAAGATACAGAAAAGGGAATAAATAGGGTCCAGAGCACAGAGACTGAGCAGAGACTGTTTTAATGTAAGAAAGAGATATATCAGGTGGAATGCTAGAAATCTTAAAAGGTGCTAATAAGAGACTTCAATTTGATACAGATGTCAAACGGTGTCATGGAAAACTTACAGGAAGAGAATAGCTGACTCACAGCAGTAGGTTTAGAGAATTATTTAAGCAAAGGGTGTAGCCCAGGCAACATTCCCATTGACATTGGGCCAA